ATACAACTGGGGTCAATTGACCTTGGGCCGAGCTTGCAATGACAGTGACACTGACTGGTTTTACGGATTGAACTTGAGCCGTAACGCCAAAATAAATGTTTAAGTATACATTTTAAAACTAACGAAAAGCTAAAACAAATCCGCACGAGTTTCAATACAATGCGCAAATAATATTTGTGCGCAGGAATCACAGAAAAACAAAAGACTCAGGCAACGAACTTGCCCGCAAGAAAACAAATTCAAATCGAAATTTGATTGCTTGAGTTTATATCGTATATATATATATATATAAATATATATGTATATGCATATTGAAAAGAGAGCAAATAATATTTGTGCGCAGGAAACGCAGAAAAACAAAAGACTTAGGCAACAAACTTGCCAGTGAAAAAAACCCAAAACTCAATACACAAACAAATTCCAAAATTGTAATTTGATTGTAATCATTGCTTAAATATTAAAATATATTTTTATGGACGCGTCGCGTTTAATGGAACTGGTTTCGCGACAACTTGTTTATATTTGCTTTTTTTTTTTTAGTTAGTGTTAGAAATTTGTTATAGTAGTCAAAGCTGAGAAAAAGCCAAAGCAAAGTTCTAATGTTTAGACATGTGTAGATGTGGTGTACCTTGTCGGCGATTGAACTGGGCGGGCGTGGGCGTGGCCAGGCAGCCAAGCGTTAACACAACACTAAGCACTAGCTTCATATTTGTATTATTTTGTCGGTTAATTCTATTCGAAAGCGTATCCAAGTTCGCGTTGCGCACACACGACGTTAACGACTCGCCGTACGTTATCAGACTGAGCGCGTCTTGAGACGCGGGTCCAAGCTTCTTGTTGACGTTATATATTTATAAAGTTTTGATCGAATTTGTATTTCGCCTTTGCGTGACCAGCTCGCGACGATCAGCGATTGACGGCAGCCGAGCCGCAGCTTTATATGCTCGAAAGTTGTTCTCAATCGAGAGGGGAGAATCCAGAGCGCTTATCTCCCCAACTAACTAACTATATCAATTAAATCGCAACAATAACAGCTTTACAGAAAAATCACCAAATTCGCGCGGGATCCGCTGTAATTTTATACAGTTTCCCAGCATGACGAATCCCTTTGACGGAGAAATGCAAATTATTGCGACCTGCATTGTCTCTCAAATAAAGCATTGTCAAGCTGCAATTATTCCAGCTATGTGTTAATTACACAAATATAATTTGCTAAAAATCTAAATAAATAAGATCACTCGCAATGCCAAACAGAAAAGAATAACTAAATATGCACAGACGAATGTGATAGGCCCCATACTATACAATATTTAATAGCTCTTGGCTAATTGCAGTGAAGGGTAAACAACGAACAATTAAGAAATCGATAAGTCTAGGCTGCCAGACTAGCAGATACCCTGTTCTTGGTTTTTGATAGCAGGCTGCCAGACTAGCAGATACCCTGTTCTCGCTTGTTAACAGAAAAGCTTATATTAAGTCAATAATAAGTGAAATAACAGGCTGCCAGACTAACAGATACCCTGTTCTTGTTTGTTAACAAATAGGCTTATATAAAGTTAATAATAAGTGAAATAGCAGGCTTCCAGACTAGCAGATACCCTGTTCTTGGTTGTTGATAACAGGCTGCCAGACTAGCAGATACCCTGTTCTTGCTTGTAAACAAAACAAGCTTATGTTAAGTAAATAATAAGCGATATAATAGCTGTTCTTACAGCTGCTTCTGGACTTCTTTTGCTTTGTCCCATATTATTGAAAGTTTAAGCACATTTTTTTTATTATTCAATTATTTTGTCATTTTTTAGAACTTAAGACATAAGTGTGTGCATATACCGAAAAACAGGGACCTTTTTTTAATTGGTATCTCAAGCACATATATTCTTTAAAATAAGTTGATTAAAAAATCGATGTTCATCAATTGAGTTACTCGAATTGTGAGCTTTTTATAAATAGAAAGAGCTGGCTACAAATATTCTATACCCTCTCGGAGATCGACACGTTGTTACAACATCGCAGTTGGCAAAAACTCTCAGGAAAGTGCTTTAATAATAAACATCTAAATATGGCAGACGAGCGGCCCAACTGAGCTGTAGATATTTGATCAATTTTAAATAAGTATACATATATTGTATTTCAAAGTGTCGATTTTGGAAAGCAATTATAATTCATATTAGCCTTTGTTGAATGGCTTTTAACAGCAATTATTATACACTCTGTTAGGGCATACAAATATTCATATGGAATATATTTATTTTTAATATGTTTACTTAAATTTTGCTTGGAGCCAAGGCGGAGGTGTGAAGAAATTGTTGTCGGCCTGGCGCCTGGTTTGTCATTGCTGTGTTTCAGGAATTGAAAGTGAGTCAAGTGGTTTTTATTTAATGCTACGACCAGTTTATAAATATTAGTTTATTTGTTGTATTATACAAACGGATTTAGATGCCACATTCCACGCCAAAGAGCCCCCGTAATGAAGCTGTAGTCGGACAGCCTAATTGTTGCTGACAACACGATTAACAAACTGTTCACAGCAGCTCGACCAGCTGCTTCTCGTCCAGAGATCTGTCAAGATAAGAGTCGAGACTTTCGTATGCATTTGATGTAAAAAGCTCATGCCGATTGCGAGATTAGAGATTGAGTTTATTTTGCGACTTGCATTGTCTGCGCTCGCAAAAGGTTGATTATGTCAATCGATGACATAGGCGCTACACTCGCAAAAATTATGTTGATTTTGTACTTGAATATATAAACTTGAATTTCTTGAGCCAAGGGGAAGATTCGGATGTCAGGCTTCTTTTTATAGTCCAGAAATCTCTAAATAAATAATATTTTGTCTTAAAAAAAAACTTAAATGAAATATTGTTTTGAAAAGTTTGTACTTAAACGAAGAACTTCTCATGCTTTTTTTTGGTATGCAAATTATGTAGCAAGTATTTTTTTTAGCTTGAATTTCCTTGAGTTAAGTAGGAAATTCTGATGTGAGGCTTCATTTTATAGTCTAGAAAGCTCTAAAAAACAATATATTGTGTTTAGGGAATTGTGTTCTTAAATAAAACATTGTCTTGAAAAGTTTGTACTTAAATGAAGAATTTCTAACGCTAGTATTTTTTTTTAGCTTGAAATTCCTTGAGCCAAGAAGGAAATTCTGATGTCAGGCATCTTTTTATAGTACAGAAATCTCTAAAAAAAATCATATTTTGCCTCAAAAAGTTTGTACCTAAATTTTTCATGGAAATGTTGTACTTAAATTAAGAAAGTCTCACGCTTATTTTAGGTATGCAAATCCGTGTAGCAAGTATTTTTCACATTTGTTTTCTTTTTTTCAAAATTTCTCCTCAAAAGATTTTACTCTAGCTTTAAGCATGTAAATTCTTGAATTAAGTATTGTACTTAGGTCCTCTTTTTTCAATCAAATTCATTTCATAATCAATTTAAGATAATTAAAGAACGAAAATAACCTAAAATTTCAATAGAAAAAAACATACTACAGTTTAGCATGACTTATTTTCTCGCAGTGTATTTGCGTGCAGCGCACTGGAATCTGTCCGGAATGCTGAGCAGTTGCTGTCCAAAAGCCACGGCAATTGTTATGCATAGAATGCAGTCGATTCATATATAACATCATATTCAATATAGGCCCGTGGTCGATGAGTAAGCTTTGGCTATTTTGATGGCAATTTTAGAATGTCGCTCAGGTAACAGCGGGCGGCCACAGTTGCGGGAATTTCAGGTGATTGCTCCTGCTGACCAGTTCCGGCTTGTGAGTGTCCGTTGACCAACCATTGCCTGACATCATTTACACCCCGCCATAAATAATTAACCTCAAGACCTGTCGTAAAATTCTAATTGCGAGCCCGCACGTGGGTCTCACTTAGCTGCTTGTAAGCACTCCGATTGAGATTGATTAATGATTTTGCGGTTTCAAGACTCAGACAAGTTATTTGCTTGTGCAAAAAAAAAAGTCACGCTACCTGCCGTTATATTTGTAAGCCCACAAATTAAGCTCATCCTCAAAGCAGAAAAAGTTCTACACAAATCACATGTGCACATATATATATATATATATATTTATATTTGTATACTTGAGTTTTTCGGAAATACCCGACTTTTAATACTCGCATGTCTGGAAAATGTATTTTTAATTCAAATTTCAGCGTAGTGTATTTATATTGGGTACTTTTGGTGCTCAGCAGGGGTTATTATATTTTATTAATTGCACGTTTGAGTTTATTTTTTATGGCATATGATATGTATACTATATACATATATGAAATGTCGAAGTGGAATATCTGAATATGGAGAATAGAGAATATTATTTTTCATACTCGCTGAGTCGATTTAACCATATCTTTCTGTCTGCCTTCTATCTTCACTTCTATCTCCACTTTTCCCTCAGTGTTGAACGTAGCTGCATTTTTGCCGGCCGTTTGCAAACAATATATCCCCTATCCAATAAATATTTGACTTTTGAACAAAAATTTTTATTTTACAAGATTTACTTACTGTATATGAATATAGTTTGTGTGTATTCATGTATGTGTGCGCAGCTCTCCTATGCGATTCTCATGAATTCAAGTAAGCTCCACAGATTATCGTTATTTGATTTAAATAGCTAAAAATGAATATCAAAATTGTATCCTATCTCATATCTCATATTGTATAACTACCTGTTTCTCAGTTTATTTATTTGTTTTCTCCGGCTTTGAGTAAAACTGCTATCCACTTCGTTAACGCTATATAATATAGATAAATTAAAGCCCCCCTTCAAGATGCCAATTAATGTGTGTATGTGAAGTAAGTAATCTAATACCTAATGTAATATATTATAAAATGTTTAAAGGCATTTTACACCTGAACACAAGTTATATTCTAATTTTGTATATAAGACTCGGAGACAACTATTCCTTCAAGTTTATTCAATAAAACTTACGGCATATCAAGTCCCAAACACCTACGAATTTTCGTAATAAACTCAACAAACAGTCATATCATTATTTGCGTATAAGTGCTATATTTTTGGGAACAGGTATCTTTTTCAAGTCAAGGATTGTGCGTGACAAATCGCCGTGCTCTGCCCCTGGAAACGCCACGTAATATGTGATGTATCCAGTTCAAGTAGCTGCTGGTTCTCGTATAGACGCCCGGAAAGCCAGGCTTGGCGCACTCATAGCCAAAGGAAACAATGCCCAGCAAGTAATAGCGATAGATGCCGCCATCCAGCTGAAAGGTAAACAAATGAAAATTTAACACGATCATAAAGTTAAGAGCTGTTATAAATATGTGACAAATGAAACGATTGTAAGAGTTTGTCTTTTGGTTTTGTGAGTTCCCCCCACGGTGGCAACAAACTCAATCACCTTGGGGGATTCGGCGGCTAATCAAGACCAAAAACTGGTTCGATGAGTCACGATCTGTGTGTGTGTGTAACTGACCTGCGGCAGCATAAGTGGTCCACCGGAATCCCCCTGGCAGGCATCGACACTGGAGCTGCCAGCGCAGATCAGCTGCAAGAAATCGAAAGACATTTACGCATGAGTATCAGGTTGATATTCACAATTAAGATGAAGACAATGACGATGATGTAGCGAGATTTGTATGCCCTTGCAGAGAGTTTTCTTATTTTTTCATAAAATATGTATATATAAAGAGCTGAGTCGTTATAGCCAAGTCCAGCCTTCCTTCTTCCCTGGGAAATAGTCGGATCGGACTACCATAGTAGATAATCTTTTTTTCCCTAGATATTTTTACCTTAACTCAGCCCTCACGAGCTTTACAATATTCCTCACATATCTGCAAACCGTAATCAACTCTTCTGTAAGGGTATTTAATCGTCGGCATGCCAAAGATGGCTCTTCTTTCCTGTTTACCTTGTCGCTAAATTGGACAAACTGAAAGACAGACTTGTAGCTCTGCTCGCAGCTCTGCCGCGAGACAATGGGCACCTGTGCATCGCGCAGCACGTTGGAGGTGGCGCCCTGATGTTTGGTTGCCCCAAAGCCCGCCACAAACGGATTCATGCCCACGAATTGATCCTCGCGCTGGAACCTGCTCGCCTCGGGCAGGCAAATGGGACGTATATCGCCTGGTAAAAAAAATAACAAGAAATAATTAAAAACGTTGCAATGGAGTCGAAACGACAGCGCAATACTCTGAGCGGGTAGAAACGGTTAAAAGTGTTTCTATTTGAACGTTGAGTGGCTCTGAAACTGTAAGGCCAAGGCCAAGTTGCCTTCAAACTGTGAGTTGGCAACAAAGTAGCTCATTGATGGCGAGAACAGAATATATTTGGCAAGATAAGTTGGATAGGCCTTCAGTAATCTGACAAAATATATATATATATTATATATGACGGATGGACGGGCCGATAGATAAACGTACAGACTAACAGACGAGTCGAGCACACTACAAAACCAATTCGCCCCAGTCTCATTTGTAAACAGAGTATAAAAAAGGTTTAAGAAAAATGCTAAAAGTAACAAGTTATGTCGCCTCTTTCCGCTAGATGGCGCCACAAGTTTAAGGAAAGGACTGAACGTAGATTGTAAGCTTTGCCACTTACCGTTAGATGGCGCCATAAATTAAAGGAAAGGACTGCGCTAAATTTGTAAACTTTGTCGCTTACCGTTAGATGGCGCTTCGCCGTTCAGCTCAATTAGCGCAATATCATTCGCAATGGAAGCCAAATCGTATTGCTCATGAACAATGCTGCGCCTGATGCGATAATCGATGGCACCCGGCTCGGCGGACTTGGACAGATCGTGTGCACCGAGCCTGACCAGGGTCAGCATTGGATTGATGCAGTGCGCCGAGGTGACGACAAATTGCGAACTAATCAGGCTGCCGGCGCAGAGAAACTTCAGGGCATTTCGATTGGTCTCCTCAAAGTAGCCCAGCGCCGCAATCCACGGATAGGTACCTGTTCACACAGTTGGGATTAGTAAAAAACGGAGATTTAAAGTAAGACAAGATTTACCTCTGCGCACCGGCAATCCGCCCACCACGCGATTTGTGGTGGCGCCTCCAATGCCACAGTCGCTCGGCTGTACGGCTGGAGATGGAGCAGGAGCAGTTACTATTCCTGGAGCTTGGTTGACAGGCGGCGTGGGCTGAAAGACGCTGATGGGCTGCCCGGGCGGCTGCGTGGCTGCGGCGCCCAGCGAGGAGAAGGAAAAGGCGCCAATCGGTGGACCGCTGGGCAGCGCATACTCCTTGGGGCTTCGGCTGACCAGGGGCGCACGAGACGCCGCGCAGCAGACCTAGAGCAAGGCAAACTATTGAGTAACCTGCTTTTTGAGTGGGGGAGCACACAAGCAGCTGGTTTACCAGAAAGCTGGCGCCATCGAAGCCGCAAATGGACTGTCCCAGAAACGACAGAAAGTCGCTGCCAGCTGTGCCCGCCGCCTGGTACTCCTGGATCAGGTGAGCGCAGCTGCCCAACGGCACACAGCTGCCGGCGCGACCGCGTGCATCCTGGCAGCTCTGCAGCTGGGCTGAAATAAGGAGCAGAGGGAGCATAACTACGGGTTGGGCGGATGTGCAGGTGTGCGAGGATTGCCAATTCGGTTCGGTTTGTTCTCAACAATTTATTTGCGTTCATTCAACTACAACTATGTTTATTGTTTGGAGGGGGGTGGGGGGTGGGAATCGGGCTTGCAAGGCTGTGCTGGATCTAGTTGGATGCAATGGCAAGACGCCGCCGGCGACGACGACGACGTCGACCTGGATTCAGTGGCATAAAGACCATCATATCCGAACCGATAGCAGGCGGCTGCTGCTGCTGCTGCCTCGGATCGATGCAGGGGCAATCCGGCAGTGGACGCACGCCTCCAGGCAGACACACAAACGGCGACGATGGACACGTGGGCGCGGGAAAGGTGCTGCCCGACGAAGTGCTGCCGGTTGTTGTTGTTGTCGTCGTTGCCGATGATGAAGTACTCGTAGTCGATGTTGTTGTTGTGGATGTGGATGAGGTTGATGATGATGTGCTTCCTGGAGTGGGAAACGGCGGCGTCGGTTGAAACGTCGGATACACTGCGTAGTTGGATGTGGACGTTGTTAATGGCACTGTCGGCGGCTGGGGCAATGGATAGAAGGTGTAATAACCTGGCGGATATGGCGGACACCAGCCCTTAATGCTGGCCAAGTACGATAGAAATGGCCAGAAATAGACCTTCACACAGAACTCATCCAGCAGCATTTTTTTTTTGATCCCGTGCAGCTGCCACAAATGTTGCCAGCGAACTGGCAAAACTGGCCAAATGCAGCCGCTGCCATTAACTAAGCAACTGTCCCAGTTAAATGAGCATTTCATCAAATTATTCGAATTAAAATTGTAATTTTCACGTTTTGTTGACTTTTCGCTTTGCAGTTTTTTCCAGAACGGAAGCGCATTGCACAGGGCCGGTTTAGCAGCAAAAAGGGGTGTTTGGATCAGCAATAATTACCCCAAGGGGAAGTCGTTTATGAAGCGAACCGGTTCGAGCCAGCATATTAGCCCAAGAACTGAACCACAGTTGGTCAAAAAATGGTTGGTTGTGAAACACTTTTGTAATCAAGCGAACCGGTTTTAAGGCGAACCGGTTCGAGCGATAAATACAAAGGTTTTTAAGATGAACCAAAACTTATTAGCTGAAAAAACTGAAACACATTTGAAAAAAGGTTACACTAACAACAATTTTATAATGTGAAACTTTTTTGCAATCTAGTGAACCGGTTGTGAAGCGAACCGGTTCGAGCCAGCAATGCACAGATTTTACCATGAACCAAAACTTATTAGCTCAAAAAACTGAAACACGTTTGAATAAACATTACACTTAAAACATTTTTTTTTATGTGAAACACTTTTGCAATTAAGCGAACCGGTTCGAGCCAGAAATGCCCAAATTCTTAAGATGAACCAACATTTTCTAGCTCAAAAACTAAAACACACTTGAAGAAAGGTCAAGCTAACAATATATTTTCTTATGTGAAACACTTTTGCAATCAAGGCTGCAAGCTGGTTCGAGCCTAAACCTAACCACACTCCACAACACAATTTTGGTTCGGTTCAACAAGAGTTTTCATAAATTTGGAAACCGCAAACTGAACCAATTGAACAATTATATTTTTTGGCTTGCAGCCATGTTAATTAGGCCCACACTCCCGCTCTTTGCCATGGTTTGTTAATTCTTTGAGGGGAAAATTAAAATAACTGGGCCACTGACGCCTCACATCCGATTGTGTCCAGCATTATCAGCGATCGTGTTAACTGCTGTTTACATGACACAATTTCCACAAAGTCCATCAATGCAGGCATCATTAAAATTCTCTGATTTGTTTATGTTGGCGCTTTGAATTACAAACGAAATTTGTCACGATCGCAATTGTTAATACTTAATATTATTTATTTTTGTTTCGCACAATGTTCAACCAGCTGTTTGTCTGTGTGAACGCGTCGATCTCGGAGAGAACAGAAGCTAAAGACTTTCTACTATTGTACTATATACATATATTCAAATATATATATTACTAAATTTGCCAGAGGAAGTTTAGCATTTTTATGGAGATCTACTTCTATATTGATAATATCAATATTAATTAATCCATTTACTTCTTTTGTATAGTAAGCACAGGTTGAGAAGTTTTAGCTCTTTTGGATACTTTTTCCAGTCCACCCAAAATAGGAGAAAAAGTCATATTCTTCAAAATAAACACATTTCATATAGATCGGACTATAATTCAATTTTGAAATATATATTTCTATATATATATATTATATTCCTATACCATTCCCAGAAGAAGTTTAGCATTTGCATCAATATCTCCTGCTATGTTCTTAATATCAGTAATAATTGAACCATGCTTCAAGGTTTTTATGTCTAATTCAAAGATTATAAGAGCTTGAATTATCAAACTTAGCAAGTTTTAATTTATTGTAAGCACAGTTTATGAAATTTTCGCTTTTTGTATAATATTTCTATTCCAACCAAAATAGGAGAAACAAATCTTTTTCAAAACATATTTCATAAAGATCGGACTATAAGGACCGAAGTTAATTCAGATAAACAGGCAGATAGACAGAAAGGCAGAAAGGCAGATAGATATATAGATAGATAGATAGTTAGATAGATAGATAGACGGATAGACAGATAAACAGAAAGATAGATAGATAGATAGAGAGATAGATAGATAGATAGATAGATAGATAGATATACAGACAGACAGATAGATAGATAGATATACAGATAGATATGTATATATATAGATAGATAGATATAGATAGATAGGTAGATAGGTAGATAGGTAGATAGATAGATATACAGATAGATATACAGATAGATAGATAGATAGATAGATAGATAGATAGATAGGTTTATAGACAGACAGGCAATCAGATAGACAGACAGACAGATAGTCTGAAAGTCATTTTCAGGGTATCAGCCTAGTCGGCCACTCCCGATTAGCACACTCTCACTTGTTTTAACTAGATCTCACATAACTTACAGTTCACGAAATTCGCAGCATGGCAAATCCATACTATGCACATCCAAAATTTAACAGTCCAACTCCAACTTTGTGGCTTAAACATGTTTCCCAAAATCCGTTTGCGAACGCTTTCCCCTCGAAATGGACACTGAGCTATTGGACACAAAATATATGTATATACATGGTTGTAATTATAATATTTCTGATAAATTAATTGTGGCAATTTTCGAAATTAAATCAAATTATTACTACCATATAATTTGTTTATTAAATTTGTGGACAAACAAAAAAGCGCCGGCGATGACAAATCTCGCTTGAACTTGAAAAAAGGTAAAGCACCTGATGAACTTCAAGCCGGAAAGCGCTTTAAACAACGCAAGGTCTAAACAAATGCCGGCAATTATCTAAATAGAAATTTATATATATATGGGACAAATTGAATGATTGACAGATTGAAGGAATGATTGACTGTTGGTTAAAGCAAATCTAGGAGCTTATAGAGCTAATCAAATTAAATTAGGTATGTAGGTTCCGTTTAGTGTATAAACATTCCGAAAATTTCACTTTTACATTCACTTTTAAATTATGGAAAAGGCCTTTTTTTAAATACATTGAACTTTGGTGTATACATTAAAAAATATGGCATGGCTCCTAAAAGAAAGCAGGGAAGCTTTCTCTGAGCAACAAGGATCTGCTGTAAGAAACCCTACTGGCCCCAGTTTGGCCCCATGCCAAATTTTAGTGTCCATCAAGCCAAGGTGCTCAGACCCATACGGTCCCTTGGACTTCTACGGCAGCTTACCCTAATATCCTGGCAAGAGAGCTTTGCAGAAGAAAGCGACGCAGACTTCGCAGGATCCAACCCAGCAATCTCCCAAGCCGAGTACTTGAATAGATATAAGCTAAATCGAATAGTAATAATAATAATAAGAAACGACGTATAAGACTCAATAATTAATGTTAAGTATGTTAATCGCCTTATTGTACAGTTAGGTTAAGATGCTAAAAAATGAAATCAACTTATTGTAAATGGCTAATAAAAGAATTTTAAAATAAAGAAAAAAAGTTTTTTAACATACATTTGGCTGTCATAGTTTTTTAAAATACATTAAGATCGGAATTTAAACGCGGAAGGTTTTAAAGGCCTTAGCTTAGGGCAAAAGGAAGAAGAAGCACAGTCAGTCACAAGAAGAAGCAGAGGAAGAATGCTTGTAATGGCAGCTCCTCCCTGGGTATAGCCACTAACCATAGAACATATAGAACAAGACTGGACAACTAGAGTAAAAGAATGGGGGACCACGCAGTTTTTGTCGTCTTCGTTTTTGTTCGGCTCCGAGACACGCTTACATGCTCAAAAAACACGAGAGTAAGAAATACATTTGATTTGTGTGGCAGAAGGGAGACGCTGTCTCTTATCTCGCTCTCACAACAGGAAACTGCTTGGGCTTACTCTCATCCAAATGAATTGTGCGATAGAACGGCAACGCTGTCGTTTATCTCGCTCTAACAACAGGAAACTGTTTTGGCTTACTCTCATCTCTATAATTTGTGTGGTAGAACGGCATCGCTGTCTTTTATCTCGCTCCCACAAAAGGAAACTGCTTTGGCTTACTCTCAGTGCGCTCTCATTATGACTATGGATAGTTTAAATGTATGTGTGTGTATGTGTCCCAGTCGGGCTCTGCCAATCCTTAATTAATATTGTTATTATTAATTTTGCAGTTGCCTTATGAAAAATATTTTCGAGACGAATTTCAGATGCGCTTATTTATTGACTTTTGGCTTTCAGTTATGGCACATGGTTAATTGTTAAACTGAGAGACGAGAAACGGAAAAATGCTCTAAATCTAAATGCCGACTACGACTACGACTACCTCGTGTACTCGTGTACAGACAACATGCAACATATACATATAAATCGAATATGGACTATATAGCATATACATTATAATCATATGGTAAACAGGCCCGAAGACATGCCTCGAGCCTGGCTGTGTGTGTTCCGCCTGATCCTTGGGCCCTCCACCTCCGCCTCCTTCTATTCGCGGTGCTTGCAGTCGAGAAAGAGCTGCGCCTGCGATTGCACAAATCGAAAGATCTCCAGCAGCATCTCGTTGGACGTCTTGCAGTTGCCCTGCTGCGGCTCAAAGAAGCCGCCGCCGGCACCGCCGCCGCCTCCAGCTCCGCCCACCGACCGCTTGCCCCAGTCCGGCGAGAAGGTGAGCTAAAAATATGGGTAATTTCATTAATTAATTAAACTCCTGGAAAGTTTCGCTCCGACTCACCTGGCATTGCACACAGGCCAGCAGGAAGAAGAGCACGGCGGCAATCAGGACTTCACTCTTGGGATTCATGTTGTGTTCTATGTGCCTTGGACCCAGTCACAGCTGCTTTTATACCCCTTAACAATATTCCACTTGCCACTTGCTGTCCAATTAATTTCACACTTCTAAGGATGCTGTGGCCCAGACAACAGCTGCGCAGGATTCTCTGACAAAGATTCTCTGACGTCATATCTAGATAGATGAATCACTCCCGGAACATTTTCAAAACTAAACCGATTTTCATGTTATTGGCAGTTAGATGAGCTGTTTTTTCAATTCTTTACGATTTTTGACCTTACCTATACAAGGTTCTAGATCTTAGGCTAACACAAAATTGATCTCTTTTTTTCTCACATTTTTATACCCTGAACCCATTGAAAATGGGTAAAAAGGTATTTGTGAAAAAGTATGTAACAGGCAGAAGGTAGCATCTCCGACCCCATAAACTATATATATTCTTGATCAGCATCAATAGCCGAGTCGATTTAGCCATGTCCGTCTGTCTGTCTGTCCGTCCGTCCGTCCGTCCGTCTGTCCGTATGTATGAACGCAAGGATCTCAGAACCTATAAGAGCTAGAGACTTGAAATTTTAGCTGTAGGTCCTCCTAGTGCCCGCGCAGATCGAGTTTGTTTCCGATATTCGATAACTTGCCCCGTTTCCAAGTAATCAATAAAAATCGATATCGAAATCCTGTTTTTTGAGCAATTTTGATAAATAATAAGAGCTAAAATCACCAAACTTGACATGTAGCTTCAACAATTGTATATATGTATATATATCAAGTATCTTTCATGTTGGAAGAAGAGGGTTCAGGGTATCCCCTAGTCGGGAGCTCCCGACTAGAACCTGTTACTTGTTTCCATTTCGATACTCCTCGAAAATTCACATCAGGAAGTCGCACAGCATCCGTTTTGTAACGCTTTCATTTAGTTAAAAGAAATATACATTGTATAAATATTCTGATCTGAGTTGTTAAACAAAAAGTATAAAAAAATATGGTCTAGTTTTCTGTAATATTGTTTACTAAGAGCATTCAAAATTTTTAAAATATTTTTAGTTTTTAAAATTTGTTTATAATTTTGCCGAATTCTTTAAAGAAAACCCATTACCGAGGCTCAAGCTTCCTTAAACTAAGACTAATTGAGAAAGATTAATTGAGAAAAAAGTTTGTCGTCCACATTTTGGAAGCATTTGTGATTTTAATGTATTTATTAGAATTGCGCATATATTTGTATTAAATATATTTATATAAATATATAATATAAATTATAAAGGTTCGTTAAAATAAAGCAGTGTAGAGTTAAAGACAGAGAACACATTGTTCAAACACTTTTGTATAAAAAAAAACATTGAATAATTTATAGAGGTCTACAAATATTATTGTATTGTGCGTTTTATCGTTTTTCATAAACATCATACTCAAATTATGACAAAAAACAATTCAAATTGCTTTTGTTTTATTTTTGTTTTTTTTTTGTGTTTGTTGTTATTTTTATTTTTTGTTATCAATGCGCTGACTAAATGCAACGAGAACGAGGCACTCAATTTGTTATTAAACACAACACAATCTTTGATTACGCGTAACAAAATCGAATCGTATATATATATATAATAATGTATATATAGTACGTGTACATGTATGCAATATATATATATATATATTAGTAGTAAATAACAATACAAATTACAATAACACATTACTTTTGGCTTAATCGAAAAATACAAACAAACATTGAAAACTTGGCTCAATTATTTCCATTAATATTATTAAACACATGGCGTTTGCACACTACAAATTTCTCACAAATATCTAACCATAATAATAAAAAACATTTGTCCTTAATTGTTGCCATCGATCCAACAAATAATATTACAAAAATATATATATGTATGTATATATGTGTGTGTCGGTTCATAAATGTATATATGTATCCATGTATCTATGTAAGCATGTATGTTTGTATGTGCTGTCTGGCGGGGACTTATTGAGTTTTAATTTTTTTTTAGTTAGTTAGTTAACTGGCGAACTGGGCGTGGCGCGAGCTTATACGATTCGGTTGTGGCTACTGGGCAGGCAGGCAGGTATAAAATGCATTTCGTTTGGGTTCGTTCTTGCTTGATCTTGGATACTGGGTACTGGATAACTGGTTGCACATCGAAGTCTGTATAGCTCAGGCGACGCGCGTTTATTAATTTTAAAATTTGGTGTTATACTCGTTACATTCATCTGGTTGTTGTTGTTGTTGTTGTTGTGGAGATTCGCCAATTGCTCTTACATCAGGCAGCACTTCTTCTTGCCCTTCTTCTTGTAGCCCTCCTCGATGTAGGGTCGTTCGGCTATTTGAAATTTGCGAACAATGCGCACCAGCTCATGAAACGCCTGATCCACATTGACGCGCAGCTTGGCACTGCACTCAATATAGGGTATCAATAGGTTTCTGCTCGTATTTTGCGCCTCCTCCAGCGACACCTGACGCTGATGCTCCAAATCGCACTTGTTGCCCACCATCAGCATGGGAAACTCATCGCGATCCTTGACACGCAAGATTTGACGCTGAAATTTTGGTATTTCATCGAAGCTGGAATGGTCATTCAAGGAGAACACCAACAGGAAACCCTCGCCGGAACGCATATACTGTTCACGCATAGCGCTGAACTCCTCCTGACCGGCCGTGTCCAGTACTGCAATATGGCATAGATTAATATACGGAAAATATATATACTATGTGCAACTATAATGTGTTTTTTGGGACTCACTGTCCAGTTTGGCTGGCACATCGTCTATGACACACTGTTTTGTGTAGGAGTCCTCGATGGTTGGATCATAGTCTGTCACGAAATAGCTCTGAAATTGTTAAGTGGAAAATGTATTAGTGGATATACTTGAAGCATATTTTGATTTGTTTACACACAGTCTGATACTCGTAAGATGAAGAAAATCTATTGCATACATAAAAACAAATGTTTATATGTGTATATACGTGCATATATGTACATATGTAAATATACATATGAATGGTTGTGGCATGAGCAGCAGATGAAGATGACGCAAATAACTAAAAATAAATAGAAAACGGCCGCCGCGCATTGCCACATTTGTGAATGATACGACGGACGAAAAAGAGACCGTGGTCGTGACCATGACGAGCGGCCCGCCGGATTGACCTCAGCTCTGCGCATACACTCACACACACACAAACACACACACACACACAGCTATAAACGGAAAACGTAACTCCTATTTGGGCCGCTCCAGTGGGATACGCCCTTTAAATATGACGATTTTCCAGTTCACTTTCATTTCTATTGATATACATTTCAAGTTGATTTCGCTGAAGATGATCTATGCTTGAAAATATGTAGCACACGCGAATATTGCCAAACACATCGAGTTGTTTGGTGCCTCGCTTGTTGCTTTTGCCAAAAACAAGGGTCCAACCCACTTGTTACGTCGCGCCGCGCCCCTCTGCCGATGCGTCGACATAGAGATGAGCAACGTTTACGTTCGCAACTTCGTGACTATGTGTTACCGCCAAAACTTACTGTTATTGCGACTTGAAAATCACGTTATTGGCCAATGCGCAGCACTGTTGCTTTTGCCTATACTGCGACAGCGACGGCGACAACGACGACGTCACCAGCTCTAGTTCTGGGCTCACCTGTATGAATTGTATCGTTATGGCTGATTTTCCAACGCCGCCGCCACCGACGACAACCAATTTGTACGTTTGCATTTGCATTTTTGTGCGCTTTGCTCTCTAATTTCGTATTATTTTATTGTTATACCGTCCGCGAAAAAAATTCAACTAGAAATACACTGGTGTATCGACATAATCGATTACATTAGACATCAACATATCGCCAGGGTTTCATTGCGATTACTCGATTACTTGCGCAGCTCTCACAGCCATAGACTCATTCTTGCGTCCATTGTGATCGAAATCGAATTCAAGTATTTTCGCATTTATTCAACAAGTTGTATCTTAGGCTTAGAATGACCTACACTAAATGTTTGATGGAATTGTGAGTGCTAATGAGACTCAGCAGCCATGCATAGACGTGCCAGCAGACTAGTCAGCTGCAGCAGTGAATTACAGCCGTCGACAATTTTCATGTGTGTAATGCCAATCTCTCGAATGAAGTTCAACTTCAACTGCTCGTCCACATTCAGGCGTTTGCAGACGCGAAATATGTTGCCAATGATATCTTCGGGTGCATAGCCCAAGCGCCACAGCTTGGCCAAGATCTTGTACGCCTTATGTATATCATTTGCAGCACAATGCTGCAGCATGTCCTGCAACAGCATAGGATGCGGCTCGTCGCACACTTTGAATACATTTGCTCCCGTTATGTCACCAAAGCCCTGCGCCGTGGACTGAAGATTGTTGAGCGCCTGCCGCATGTCACCCTGTGCCGTGAATACTATCGCCTCCAGGCCATCCTCATCGTACTTGAGCTTCTCCAGCTGGCACACCTCAATCAATTTGGCCAGCACCTGGGCATCCGACAGCTTGGTGAAGCGCAGCATCGCGCAACGCGATTGTATGGGTTCAATGATCTTCTCGCTGGTATTGCAGGCGAGCGCAAAACGTGTTGTATTGCTATAAATTTCCATGGTGCGGCGCAGCGATTGCTGTGCACCTTCCGTCATGCTGTCCGCTTCGTCCAATATCACAATCTTGTGACGACCACGCGGCAACGTTACCTTCTGTTGGGCAAACATCTTGATCTTATTGCGCACCACATCGATTCCACGTTCATTCGAGGCGTTCAACTCGAGGACTGCGTCCTTATAACTGTCACCCAGCAGAATGCGGGCTAAGCACTGTATGGTTGTTGTTTTGCCAACGCCAGGCGGACCCTGTATTATATTAGATCATTTTAGTGGATTTCTATCTTCTGATTTGTGCAAATCTTACCGCAATAATTATGTTGGGTGAATTTCCTTGCGTGGAGAAGACGGACAAACGGGCGACTGTATCTTCATTGCCCACAATTTCATCGAACTTGACAGGGCGGTATTTCTCAATCCAAGGCAAATTGCTGCGCTTGTCGACCACAACAGTTTCCATTTCCTCCGGCATTTTTGTTTTATAATAAATAAATAAATAAGACAAACTTCAACTCTTGCCGGCGTTCGCAAGCATAAAACGCGGGATGATAAATAATTGCCTTGGCATTTTTTAGCACATATCGTTTTGGTGGGTGTTAGAGCAAGCAGCTCTCTTTTGCCCATGCTATCGAAATAGCAACTTTGCGAGCGTAAAAGCATCGAGTAATTGTGATCGAGTACTCATTATCGGTGCGCATGATAGTTGTGTGCTCAGTATCGATAAGTGTAGATGTAGAAAAAAATATAGTGAGAATATGGCGAGTCTTGAGGGCCAGCAAGAAAATTATTCGAATAACCCAGCAGGTATGCATTAAAAAAAGTGAAACGGCCCAACAAATTTAACTACAAACAGTGCGCGTCAATGACCAGTGCAAAAATTTAACCAACAATACGCGTAACAAAGAGTTTTACAAGCCCCAAAAAAAATTGTTGGTCGAATGGGCAGCAACCAAGACAACGACAACGACGACGGCGACGACTCACACTCAAAAAGCGAACGATGTGAAAAAAGAAGAAGCCAGAAGAAGTGTTTGCTTCATATGGGTGAAATTTGCCCCCGTGTGTTTTTTCCGAGTTCCTGCTATGTGCCTGTTGTTTTGCCCCCGCTAATCCCCACCAACCCCCTCTCAAAACGTCAACCGGAGTTTTGAGTTATAAATAAAATTCGTTCAAAGTTTCCAGAGGAAAACATTTTCGCTGCTGCCGCCGCCGTTCACAGTCATCGTGAGGCAGCAGCTGCGCTGCAGCTGAACATTTGTTTGTGTGCATGTGTATGTGTATATATGTGTGCTTGTCAGTCCACCCCGTCTGCCCGCCGACGCCACCGCCAACTTATCAAATGCGTGTTTTTACCTTGCCCTACAAGTGCAAAACAGAAGCCGATTGATTTTCTTTTTTCCACATATTCTGATATTCATTTCGTTTTTGGACTCTATCCGAGTGAGTGTTTGCGAAAAAAAAGAGTGTGCAAAATGGTGAAAAAAACTTGGAAAATTTAAAGGCTGAATGAACTTTACAGCGCACGTTTACAAATTTTCTTACGAAACCAAAACACAAACATTCGAGTGTTTATATTGCCATGTTTTTTTTCATTTACTTACAGTGGAAAACATACCCAAACGACCCGAAAGCCGAGAGGGGAGCGCCGAACGCAAAGGTAAGACAGCCTTTCATATAGTACAATGATTATTATATGAACCTATCCATGTGTGTGCGCGTGTGTGTGTGTGTCTGTCTGTTACATAAAATTTGTCCTAGACGACTATCGCACGCTCTTACTGCACACAAGCAAAGCAAGAAACCAATTAATCTAAAAATTGAGAATATCTCTCTCACAAGAACTTAGTTCTTTTCTGCAAAAACTCAATCCTAAGGATATACGATATGATATATATATATATAGATGCGATTTTAAGAGTTTTCTCCTACGTTAGGCGCATAAAACTTATAATTGGAAAGTTAATTCAAGAAAATTTTTAAAATATTTGAAAAATAATAAAATGGCTTATAGAATAATTCAATTTTTCGACGATAATTCCTATGGTAGCTATGTGATAAGTAGTCCGATCTGGATCTGAATATACATATGTCATGTGGAATCTTAGTAGTTTAAGTAAAGAACTCTTTAAAAATATAAAATGATTTCATACTACGACAAACATATGTACAAGCTGACGTAAAAATAGGCATCTACTCATAGTTTCTTCAGGATTTAAAGGCTTCAAAATGAGATATTAGTTTGTGTTCATACTGACAGACAAGATAAAGAAGAATTGGCTTTATAGTAGTTTTTTTAGTTACGATTTCGTCAAAAATAAAAAATGATTTCATACTACGACAAACATGTGTACTACCTGGGGTAAAAATAGGGATCTATCCATAGTTTCTTCAGGATTTAAAGGCTTCAAAATGAGATGAGATCAAGAATTAGCATTAATATGCCTTCTTCAATGTGTTACCAACTTGGTGATGAAATCGGAATACCCTCTGCATAGGGCATAAAAACGAATAGCAAAATTCTTGTGCGCGAATGGGCTTGCTTCAGCTGCAGCTCCATCTCCAGCTGCAGCTGCAGCCCACTCCGCAATGCTGCTCAGAGGTGGGCGCCATGCACATAGATGACGCCAGCGTCTCTGCCGGCGTCACTGCCGGCGTTCAAGGTTGTTGACATGCTCTGCCGTGCGCCCATCTGCTGCGCCAGCCGAAGCCGCATGATCATTCACAGCCATTCGCCGCCAGCTGATAAGCGGGCCGTTATCTAAAACATGGTTATGGATATATATGTACACCTATTCGAACATGCAGAATTTGTAACTGAAAAACAGCTTGGCCATGATTCAATGCCGCAATTTACAGTTGTTGCAGTTTACAGTTGGGGTTTGCGTTGCTTTCATTTTGTTCGAATTTGCATTCAATTACGTCATTAAATTCCATAAATACTTGAGACGATAACGCGTTATCGAACGGTGCGGTTATCGGACGATTGCCGATTGCCGATTACAAGGAATGCGCACAAAGTTAGTTGACCACAAAAATTGCGAGTTGGCCAATTGTCTGGCACTTTTTTTTATATACATATATTTTTATTGCTTTTATTTTGCACGGCGGGCCCAATGTCATTTTAATAAAAATTGTGCGCTTACATTTTCTTTTGCCTTATTTGCTCATCGCACAGCGAACTGTATGTGTGTGTGTGCGAGTGTGTGTGTGTGTGTGTGCATTGTTATTGTATTTTGTTGTCAATTGACCCACATACATACAAAGCGAGCGTACGATGACGTCAGGCGCTGTAAAAGTCGCGGCTGTAGTTGCCGGCAAATGCCAAAAAAAGCAAGTAAGAGTGCTCCCACTCGAGATTGTCCGACTATAAAATACCCTGTAGGCAACTGCCTAAAATAATTCGTAACTACTTAAGGAGTTGGCTGAGTCGAGGTTAAGGAAGTGTCTTGCTTCAGTTTATCCTTGATCCTTCTATATGGTAGAAACATTGCTAAATAATTAACATAACTTATGTATATGAGATTTTAAGAATATACACAAATCTCTGCCTCAGGGGAATAAATTTATATGTATATTATTTTTAAATATATACAAAAAATAAAGAGAATTTCCCTGACATTAATGCTAATGTTTTTCATATTTAATGACAAACTAGAAATTACATACAAAAAATAATGATATCTAGTTCCAGTAAACTCTGTTAAGCTCCAAAAAACAATAATCGATATTTATCGATTGTTCTGCTTTTGATAGAACTATTTCAAGTCCCTCTGATAGTATTAATAACCATCATAAAATTTGAATGCCTTTTGAAAATGGGAATGCTATATACCCATTATGTACGTTTCCATAGAGTGCAGGGTATAAAATGAAGTGAATGAAGCTATATCGATTTTTGCCACAGGTAGCAACAATTCTGATGATTAAAAACTTGCATCTACATGTGAAATATGAGCATTGTGGTGTTTGTTTTAGCCACGCCACGCCTACCACCCCCGCATTCGCAATCACAATCAATATACAAATCTAATGGCTGACTCTCATTTTGACAGCGTCCAAAGATCGAGAGGAAAAACTGAGATATGCGCGTGATCGACAGAACGAGGAGCGACAGAAGAAAATCGAGGAGCTGCGCGCCCAGGCCGAGGCAGCACAAAAATATCGCGAACAAAAGGAGGAGGAGCGTCGCCGTCGCATCGAGGAGATACGCGTCCGTGATACAGAGAAGCGTCATCTGGTTGAGGAGCGCAAAAAGGCCATCATCGAGGCCGAGAAGGAGCGACGCGAGTTTATACTCAAAAAGAATCAGGTGCGTGTTATTTGGCCAAATTTTTTTATTTAATTGCTCACTTTTGGCTTGGCTTTCACTCGATAGGAACGCGAATCGCGAATAGAGACAAAGAGGCGCGATAGAAATTCGATTGCCTTTGCATTTGGCTCGTCAACGCCACGTTTGCTCGATGTGCCGGCGGATTATGGTCTGGTATCGCCCAGCACCTTTTGGAGTCAACGACGGTGAGTTAAAGTAATCCCCACACTTTCCACACTCTCTAATGTCAAGTTTATTTCTATATATATTTTAGATCCACATCTATATCGAACGTAGCGGGCGCCTCGCTCTCACGTCGCAGTTCCGAGCGTGAACTAGCCGACAGTGGTGCTAAGAAGCGTACCTCCTCGTCTACGGACAGACATGATGGTGAGTTAGCCGTAGCCCATAGACGCCTCTCCCCATCAATTTTCAGTCGAACTGTCACAGAAATTACACACACCCACAAACACACACGGAACACACTCCAACCACACTTAATCTTAACTATTTATTTTGCAGTTGATATTACTTTAGACAATCTACTCGTAATTTACAAAAGACTCTCTGTTTGTTACGTGACAATATCTCTATATAATATATATATATACTATATGTACTCTTCTGTGTGCCCAATTCCCAAGTACCTGTGAACTGTTGCAGCTGTATGCAAAGTTATTAACTACCCCACACACCACAACAAAACCCCTTTCTTTTTTATTTGCAATATGTACACAATATATACAATATTGTACTTATATGATTTATTATATAGTCACTTAGCCACCTGTCAATGCTAATCCCTAATCCAATCACAGCGTAGCTTCAGTTCTTGTTTATTTTCCATATTTCACGATCTCTCTCTCTCTCTCTCTATATACAAATTGCCCATTACACCACACAGATCATCGCCGCAAGTCTTCGTCCATGTACGAGGTATTCAATTGGGGCTATTCCAATGATGAGCCGCCGAAGCGTTTTTCGCTTTCGATAGCCGGCAACGAGATAAATATTGATGGGCCAGCGCCCATTAAGAACAACGCCCAAATACTGACTTCCAATACAACAACCACAACTGCGCACAGACAATATACAACAACAGCAACAACTGCAAGCCACAACAACAACAACAACTACAATAACTCATATCGTAAGGGTGAGGGTTCCTCTTCTCTACTCTTCTTCTCTCTATTGTTCGTGTTATTTGCTATGTATATCCTCATTTTTAATTTGTTTGTTGCCCTAACC